TTGATTTTGATTAGACATTTTATTAGTTATAATATGATGGCAATTGACTGATCGTGTCACCTAACTCCATCACATATTTAATATGTGGAAGAACTTTAATTAATTAATCTGGTCACCCACCAACAGAATCCATACTATTTTTTATTTATTAATGAAACCCCATATAAAACAAATAAAAAGAAAAAAAAAATGATCTGTTTTTGTCATAAAATTAAACGTGTCAAACAAAATAAAGGAGAGGAGAAGGAATGGGAGTAGTTAGCCACTTAGCCCTAATAATTGAGCTTCTTAAAAGAGTAATAGATGGCTGTATGAGATATTTCAATAAAGAAAGGAAGAACAAAAATGTGGTGAGACATAACAGTTCCAAGTGACACATACATAGAGATAGAGTTTCACATTCAAACAATCAAAACAATTTTTTGGATCACCCAGCTGCTTAGGAACATATAATTAGATGAGTGGATGGTTACAATTGTTCAGGTTTGTGTACGCAAAAGATAAATATAAAAAAGATAGGTCAGGTCTACGTGTTGCATAGGTTTCGTTGTGTTTTTTTTTTTTTTTTTTTTTATATATGATGGAAGTATCTAGATTGACTATCGGACAAATTCTCTCAATGACTACCCCTATTAGTAATTCAAGTGAATCAAACTCAAAATTTCTTAAGTAATACATTCAAGAATCCTAGTTAACCGTTAGGCCATCCAGTGATGCTTATTGCATAGTATAATTCATTTTCAAGCAAAAGAAAGATAAAATAATTTGTTAGGCCACTACATTCATTTTTAATTAAAGGAGCTTTAAGCGGCATAAGGATTCCATCATTTGAACGAATTATTAAAGAGTTAACGACTTTTTCTCACCCAAATAATGGTTTAATTATATTTTTTTACTCATAAACTTTTAAAATACCATTTTATTATCCAATAATTATATTTTTTCACCCATAAACTTTTAAAATACCATTTTATTATCCAAATTTATATTTCGTGGCAAATAGAGAACAAACTCAGTCTAGACTGTTGAGGCTTTTGAAAAGAGGAGGCCAATGAATCTTTTAGCGGTAGGGATTGATCGTAATTTGACTTGAGAGGGGCGGCTACACAAACCTAAATCGCTCAATTACCAACGATTGATGGGTTTGGCATGAGTAGGGTTTGAGGGGTTTTTGTGAGTAATGACCGGGGAAGAAAATGGTGATGATGTGGGATTGCAACGATACTGTAATCGAAAACAGAATATAAATTTGAGTAGTAAAATAGTATTTTTAAAGTCTATAGATGAGAAAGTCTCGTTAAGTCATTATTTAGGTAAAAAAATATCGTTTACTCAATTATTAAGTTGATAAGAATCCAACTCAAATGGCCAAATGCAAATGGAAGAACTCTAGAAATCATTTCATAAGAACTGCTATGAAGCAATAACCCGATATTGATATTGATAAGAAACAGGGCAGGAAGTTAATTTGATCACGCATCTATCACTATATGCAATTTATGAGATTACGACATAAAAAAGCAGACGAAGAAAAGAAGGAAAACAAAATGGAAAGGGCTCGAAACTGAACCATGAACTCAAAAAAGAAACTGAAGCAGATATGAATTGACGCATGAAAAAAATGATAATCGATCAGATACTTTGCTTTGCGAAAGCCGAAAACACCAAATCGTAAAAGCTTCATTTATTATTATTATTTTTTTTTAACTGAGGTGTGTTCTACAAACTCAAATAACAATGTTATTGTAATAAGTAACCTCAAGGTTTGAATAAAAAACCTCAAAAAAAATAACAAACTTTTTTGACCACCAGATCATTCTTTTGAGATTGTAAAGGTTTCATTTTCTAACACATATTTACATAACTTTCGATCTCAAAAGTATCTGAAAACTACAGGTTCCTTCACTAGTCATCGTCTCAATTACTTTGCGGATCGATCGATGTCTACACATGTGCATTCTTAATTTGCATGTGATAATTAATCAGACTTCCTGATTACTTAATTAGACCAATTTGCAAAATGTCATTACCAATTAATAATAATTATAAGCAAGCTGATATTTTGATTTGATTACTGTCTCTGGAATTTCTTTTTTACACACTATTATTGATAATGGTTGTTTTTATATAGCAATAACAACAGATAGCCAATATAATTTAGCCCCACTACCACTAGTTACAGTTTTTTGGCTCATACACTGCATTAATTTTCATCATACTATTATTATATTTGTCACGCGTACTGTAATCTTTTTTCTTTTTGGTCATACTTTATTCTCAGCTTTTTTATATTATATAGTATCTTCTTAGTGTTGTTTTAGGGGGGAAAAAAGATCAAATTATTTAACTCTTATTTTATGTTATTTTTCATGATAGAATAATGTCTAAGAATAATCAAGATGATCTGATAGTGCGATTAGCAACTTAATATAAAATTGCTTTTTTTATCTATTATTACAGTTTGGATTATATGATCAAGAAATTGGAATTTTCATATAAATACAAAAAATATAAAATATAAAAAAACTGGAAATATTTGAAAATACTCAACCGTCCATGCATATCCACTCACAAAAACGACACCCAAATTGAGTAAAATGATAGGAGGATGGCCAATAATTCTATAAAGAAGATGGGTGTACGTAATAATCAATATAAAGGAGGGTGATGCATGAAGCAGAAAGCAGTCAAAAGTTGGGGGATGCTTACAGAAGAATTTCTGTTCCTTTGTATTTGGAGCCAAGCAGCAAAAGAAAATGTGTTTCTCATGTCATTGGCCTTGTGATCAATCAAAACTTAATGGAGTGGTCAAAAGAGCAAAGTGAATGCATATATGTTTCAGCCTGTCTACAATCTTTGTTCACAAAAAAATAGGAAAGAAGACACAAATGATTGTCTCCCATCCAATTCAAAGTGATGGCTGTAAAGGCACATTTTTTGCTTGAAAGATAACTAGGGAGAAAAAGTGGAAGCCTATAAAGATAATATCACAAATTGTTGGTACCATTCACTATAAGTTGAAATAAACTTTAGAATACATCATATTAAAATTATGTTTATTATAAACATACTTTTTCCTTCAAGATATTCCTTTCAAAGAAGATCGTTGGTTTGATTTTAAGATGCACTTAGGGCAGTCATTGTCTCAATGCAGCTGCTATCTTCTTTTGAATGAGCTCCACACCAATCCGAGGAGATAATCTCGGTAGAGTTTCCTGAAAGAAAGATTTTCAGTGAGATTTTAAGGGGAAAAAAAATGGTTGCTTGCAACATCACCTAAAAAGCCTTGACCTTCTGAATGCATATTAAAAACTAAACTTGTGCCTCTAGTTTTACACTCAACAAAGCCTTTATGGCATTTCGGGTCACCACATTGATGTTCTCATTATTATTGGACTAAGTAGCTTGTGCTTAACAATCACAGGGTTTCATCCATTAAAATAAATTTTAGGTTGATAAGAATCACAAGATCTACTGATAAATGTAGAACCTTAATGCCCAATGAGGCATGCAAATGCAGGAAAACTGGAAAAGAGGATGACATGAACATTGACTTACTATCAATCCTATTCAGAAAGGAACAGTACATTTAGACTGTTACTGCCTTTTCTATATGAAAAACAAAACTTTTATCACGCTAGATAACTAATTTAAACATCTGGCTTCTCAGCAGGGATCATGAAAATAAATTCAACTGTAATCATACTTGAGAATAACAGGATAAATAGAACCTCTTATCAGTGATATATAGGGTCATATACAATATGCAATATGCAATATGGAGAAGAGGCATCTTCAACCACTATTGACTATATTAGCTCACAAATCACAACATAGGCCACACCTCGGATTGGAGTATTAACTGAACTTCATTGGGCCTCAATAGTAAACTAGTTAAGGTCAGCTATTAGCGCCCATTCATAATTTTTTGGGGCATCTCAAGTCTTATATGGCCTAGTTCCTTTATACCAGATAGTTCGATATCTGTCTTCTTAAGCCTAGTGAATTTTGCAAAGTTGACTGGAATATGAAAGATATCAATTAGCAAGATCCTCCATTAGACTGATTTCCCAAAACCCAGTATCCAGAGGTGGTTTCTCTTCCATCATCTAATCAAAGTATAATTCATGCATTGTTCCAATTGATTTTCATCTCAAATGCCTCTGTCCAGAATATCATTCTACATGTGAACCAAATCTGTAAGAAAAGTCACCATGACAGTGAAAATCATAGTGAATCAGAGCCCAAAACTCCGAATGTGATGGTAAAATAGAAACTTATCCACAGCCATATGTTTAACTGATTCTTCATCTTTGTGATGGTTCAACCCAGCCAGAAAAATGGCTAGCCTATGAATGTTATTTTGATTCCTTTGGTGATGCCAGAAGTTGTTTCAATTACATTTATCTTGTTTCAAGTTTATTTATTACCCTTAGTTGGAAGTAGCCTTTCTCTTTCCTTTGGCTGGACCTCCCAAAAACACTTATCTGTTAGGATTCGGGTCCATGATGTCCTTTTTGGTGGATTTTGAAAATTGGATCTCTCTATGAAGGGGAACAGTTGCTTCAGATAGGGAAAAGAGCATGAAAAAGAATATGTGATTAATTTTATGTGCATTAAATCAACCATGGACCCATTGCAACTTAATCATCAAATCACCTAAATCTAGAATATAATGATCATCATCTGAGACTTGAGATTTAAGATGGCAGACATGCCTCCTTTCATAATTAGAAAGGAATTGCCACTTATGAGCTCCTTTATCAGAGAAAAACGAGTATCAACCTCGAAATGCATTATTAGGATGTGTCACTAAGTCCACATTTTCTTCAGTCACCCGTACAAGAAGCAAATTCTAGAGCTTCATTGACCTCTGAACAACTAATTTCTTTTCTTTTGCTTTCAGTATGCCAAATAAGTTCAGTTTAACAAAATCTAACAGTTAATTGTAAATTCTGCTTAAGTAGAGTGCTCCTTTATATCTGAGGACTCCTTAATTATAAGGTCCTCAAACTCAAATTGAATATCTATAACACAAGTCTCAATGCATTAATAGAAACCCTAAGGCCATGCTTGATAGGAAGAAAGGAGATTGAGATAGGGAAACTAGAGTATCATTAGAAACCATTACTTTTTAATTTGACCATTACACCTTTATATGCTATAGTTGTACAAAATTATTCATTATTACAAATTTTAGGCAGAATAAATGTCTTCTCCCTTTAACAAGATTTATTCTTTTTATCCTTCTTCCACCCATTTATGGATATGATTGAGTTCAACTAGTTTGAATTGGTATACATCCTTCATCATTCCTTATCTCTCATCATTTTATTCTCAAGCAGTACTCCATATTCTTTTGTTTCCTCCTCTCTCTCTCCAACAGATGAAGTGTAAAAGAGAAGCTGGAAAAGAGGCTGCTGTTATTAAAAAAATAGAAGAAAAAGATGCTGAAATACAAACATGACTGATCAAGTTGGCATGGAATGACAAGTCATCTCCACCTAGTTATGACTGAACCCTTATGAAACAACCTCAACAACTCACTGTCCTAGCTGTGTTTCAGCTGGCAATGAGTATTCTTAGCAGATACTTTTCTAATCTTTAGCCATCATGAAGAATCTTACTATTATATAAATTTCACTTTTCTGGTATATTTCGATAAGGTAATAACAGCAGTAGAGCTTTCTTAACTTCATTCTTTTCCTACATTAGTACGCATAATCACTTTATCAGTGCATATTACTAAGTCTTGCATTACCAAGCTTTTCAAAGTGCAAATAACCGAATCTTGAAACATTTTCAAAAGTCAACAGGCAACTCAAAGTAAAGCTTAAAACTAAATTTCACGAGAAATAACTAAATCAGAAATGGAAACCACTAACCTCCCTGCCATCAGAAAGTACTTTGGCCAACACAGGTATCTCATACTGGTAAGCCTTTTCCCACTCAGGATTGGTGGTTATATCCCTCACCTGACAAAACCCAACCACAAATGTTCAAGGAAAACATACACACGGATCACAAATGTATATGGAGAAAGAGAGGTGGGGTACCTGTAAATCAACGTCATGAAGAGAATCAGGGCCAGAGATTAAAAAAGCAGCTTGAAGTTTTTCTTTGAGGCCATCACACAAACAGCATCCGGTTTTTGAGTAGAGCACCAGCTTTCTTGTTGAAGAAGCTGGTGATGATGAAAAGGCCAAAGGACTCAAGACCCATCTGCTTCTGGCTTCCGGTTTTTGTCTGCTAAGCACCGCTATTGACGAGGGTCTTGCTATCACCGCTGCCATTGTTGCCCCACTAACCATTTTATTCCCACTTCGAGTTTCGTACGCCTGTTTTTCTTGAATTAAGTTTGCAGTTCAGTCTGATAACGATAAAATTTATGGGTCCAACCCAGCCCGATCCCACGTTGCTCGGACTCAATCGGGTTGGTCTTAAAATTACAAATTGGAACCGTATTTTGCTTGTCTATTCTTTTTTAATTCTTTCTATTCTTTTCATAATAGACATGTTACTAAAATCTTCATGTGCCTTTAATCAATAAATTCACTAAATCAATTGAGGTACTCTACCTTGTGAACGAGGTTAACAATTCTAAACCTCTACAAGAAGTAGACCCATTTGATATAATTGAAACAAATTCATATCAGATTCTCAAATATTCCAGCGCCCATTTAACAGTTATACACAAGCCAAAATGCCCCACTCTTTTTCCTGTGCAAAGTAGAGCTTTGATTTTCTAGACTAAATGAAGACAGAGTCCGTTGTTTTATCAGGGCTTGTAGTTCAATATGATCTTGTTAACACAATTCCTGTATATTGTTTTATGTAATCGAAAACGGAGCCACACCTGAGAAGACAGGCAGCGTTTCTTGCCACTTTAACCGTTACAATAGAGCTTCCTGCTATCATACAATTCACTCAACAATTTTAAGATGACTCTGGTGATAATTTAAATTTCAACCATCTATGACAGTACTTGCATTCACTTCCTAAAGGAAAAAATAAAAATAAATAACCTATGATACAACATCAAATAATGGGTTCCATCATTTCCATTCTACAGTTCTGGCAAGTTTCGTATCAACAAACAAAATTTGAAAGACAATCTAGATGAGCTTCTTTTTGTGAAAGAACTGCTTCAAGTGCAACAGTTGCAAAACTGAAACCACAATGCAGACACCAAGCGACATGATGCTAAACCGTGCCACTCTAGAATTGGTTACTTCACTGACTTCCCTCATCTCTGCTTCCCTGTGTGTCAATGTCCAAGAAGCCAAAACAAAAAAAACAAAAAATAAAAAAAAATAAGAACTTCTAAAGTGTAATATTTTCTATAGCTATGGCATCAATAATCGTTAAAGAAAAAAGAACCATTATATTACAATAGGCCTTCTAAGTATAGCAGATATATTCTCCACAAGTAGTTAACCTACATATCTTCCTCAAATATTTCTACTTAATACTGAAGGAAAATGTAAATAGATTCAAAGTATTATAATATTCTATAACAGAAAACTGTCATGTAACAGGACATTATGTTGCTTTCCTCTGATGGGTAAACCAAAAGGCTTGCTTTCGCAAAATTTAGTTGACAATATTTGTGTCACAGATGCGAAGTAAATATTATGTTGAAATATGTCCATGGAAAATGATGTCCTATTAGTTTATTTTATGTACTTTACTGTAGGTATGAAACTTTGAAACCACCCTGTCGGAGATCCCAGCCAACCCACCACATGTAAGAGTTACTTTGAGGATCTAACTCACTCAAATCTTTAAGGGAAAAACAGTGAGCTTCATTGAGACCATTGCTCCTAATCACAAATAATGATAACAATAATAGTAACTGCACTAACACCTATATTGGGAGCCAAAAATAACATATAGCACCACTCACTCCAGTTCTATCACATGTTCTGTAGAGAGGTCTAAGTGATCAAAGAGTAAGATAACCTCATGTTTTGTAACTCTTGTAACTCAGATTATTTATCCTTTGTACAACAAATTGACTAGCAAACAACGATCAATAGCAATATTATATTAGAGAGGCTAATTTGCTATCAGGCCAGTGAAGAAATCAAACTATATTTTTTTCTTTTTGTCAGTGGCAACCAATCAATAAAACAAGGCAGATACCAGCGAGGAATCCTCCTAAAGAGATTAAATTTGGAAGAGACACAGACCTGTGCTTGAGGAAGAGCAGATTATCGTGGATGGCTTTCACTGAAGCTTCAAGTCTCGTCAAGTGAAATTCAACACCCTACATGGAGACATGTGGTGCATGCATAATCAGATAAACAGGAAAGTAGAAATGTATAAGATTGACAATAATATTTCTAGTTCCAAGGAAATTGAGAATTTAAGGATCGTGCCTCGATCTTGTCCTTCTTTGCAACTGAATCCCAATCCTTGGCAGCAATTCCGATTCTCCAGTCAAGACTTAGAGTTGTGCTTGTACCTTGTTGTTGGTTGCCCAACCAGAAACATGCCAAATAATTGCCAGCCTCGGTAGTTGTAAATGCAAATTGACCATGAGTAACATTTTCATTGTAGTGAGCATTGTTTCCAAATGGAGTTGTCACCTAAATAAAAGAGAGACAGTTTATAAGTTACGAAACTACTGACCCCATAATTGCAGACCCCTTGCAAAGGCCCAATTGGTTCACCATATTGAAAAATAGCAGAAGCAATCGTCTTATCAGTAAGCCAAGCATAGAACAAGTTACTTCATTCAATTCTAGCGTAGTGAAATTTCCACACACTCAGTACATATCTGATATTACTTTGTGAAAAAAAAAAGTCTGAATTTAGGAGAAAAATGCTAAATATCTGATGCAGGCAACTCATCATCATAATCATGAGAGTTTTAATTTCATATTCTACTAGTAAACAAATAAATGCAACAGGATCATTGCTCAGCTGCCCAATTCAAAAATTAAGAGCCCAAAATTATAAAAAAACAACTTCCTCATCGGGCTTATTACCAGTTCAGTAGGTGTTATAAAGGCAAGTGAACGGATGATTAAAGCTCAAAAGCAACATGAAAATGAAACCATAGCAAATCAATCACAACTTTCACAACAGATCGTACTTCCAACTACCACAAAACTCAATCACTATCAAAACCATAAAAATGGGCATACCCATATAGAGATTTGAATATTTTAAGTTATATTATGAATTTAAACCAGGATTAATAGATACCCGAACAGAGACAGTGGAAGGATTTTCAGGTTGAGCTTCGTCGACCACGTAATAATCAGCCAATACGACGACGTTGTTTTGTATCTCCTCGGACACACACTTGGTCCCTGAACTCGGTATATTTAACCAGATGGCTTCTGTGACCGGTACGATGTTGTTGTTTCCAGTTAAACATAGCAGAATCATTACAGACAACACCGCCACCTGGGCGCGTGAATTCAAAGATCCTGCCATTTTAGAACACTGAGACTTGGTACTTTGGTCTCATCAAAACAAGTTCTAGTTCTAGTCGTGTGTTAAAGACGAAGAGGAGTTGATTACACGTAAAGTGAGCGCGTGAGAGAGGGTGGCTCCGATTTGGGTGCGACATCGTCCTACTAAGACTTTTCCCGGGGCTTTGACGCAAGAGGTCTGAAGATTGTCCAATCAAATTAGAGTTGGACGATCCTCCTAGGACATGAAGTTTGTAATTGCAATTGTCTAATAAATTCCCCACGCGCACCAACGTAGCGATTATGATTCTATTTTTCTTCTTTATTAATAGTAAAAAAATAACTTTTGATTTTTTTTGATAGATTTGGGTAATTATTGTAGGCCCTCGGGCCTCGGCCCTCCAAAGATTCAGATTCTAAAGTCTCATCGCTCTAATATTATGAGAAGTGTTATTAAATAGTAACCCAGATGACGATTTTTAATCATTTTAGCAGATTTTTACGTAATTAATCATTATAATTATCATAGATAGAATAAAATTTTAAGTTCTTACATTTTAAATTCTTTCTTTCAACAAGGTCTCTACACCTTTTGTTTTACAGAATTTGAATGATTTTTTTTTTTTTTTTATAATGAAATCATTAAAATTATAATATCATATATGTAAATGTTTGTTTTCACTGTAATATGTATTGCAAATTATTTATGAACTAGAGATGAGACGCATGTTACGCAGATATATTTATTTAATATTTTTGAAATAGATTGTAAACAAATTTATTATAACAGAATAAAATAATTAGATTAAGAGATGATAATTGTTAAATTATATAAGTTTTAGAGTAAATATAAATTCTATATATGTACAGAGTTGTGTTAAAATAAAATTAATAATTATACTTTTATAATTATTGATATCAATTAGTATTATCAAGATCAATTATTTAAACTTTAAATTTATATTGAGCTTTTACAATTTCTGTAAGTTATATTCATTTTCAAGTTTGACATTGACTGGTCAATTTTTTTCTCACAGTATAGGGTTCATATATTTCTTTAAAATCAATACTCCCTAGCCAAGGTTTGAAAACAAACGTCTATTCACACAGTTCATTCAAAAGCTTTATTTGTTTTACAGTTAAGAACATAATAACTCAATTAATTTCTAGGTTAATAATTGTATAACTATAAAACATAATATGAAGAGACTAACTTGCATCTTTATACGTTTTTATTTAAAATGGTTAGATTTTTGGAATGCCTATGTAATGTAGTTATATAATTATTATTAATACTCATCCAATGTGTGAAGATGGAATAATTAAATCAAAACCATCGAGAAGGAGAATTTTTAGTAGATTCATTAAACAGTAAATGCAATACATCAATTAAAGGAACAATTTTCAATCAATTAATGAGTAATATCAAAATCAAGATAAAGTTGAACATTGAGAATAATACTTTTATTATAAAAGAAATACGTACATCGGTTTTTCATATGTGAAGTGGGTTTGGATGATGTAGATGGTGTTTATTTTCTATTTTTCTTATGTTCTTGTAGTGCATATGCATACTCTTTTTTGTTTATGTTATAGATAATGTCCGTGGCTGATTGCATGATTTCTAACATCTGTTCAATGACTTCTCTGAATATGTAGATCATCCAGATTGGTGTCAACTTTTTTGAAAACTTTCTTCAATTCCGGCATTCTCTGAAAAATGTCTAAACCAATTGCAGAAACAATATACAATCAAATTTTATAAATATATGGAAACGGTAACATGAATCTGTAAATATAATTATGAGATGAATTCTTGACATATCAATTTTTTTTTTTTATGGTTTTTATATTCCCGCAAATATGTATTATCTTTTTATGGTTTTTATATTCCCGCAAATATGTATTATCGCTTTGTTTGACATTTTGTAATTTAGGATACAAAAGATGTGGAACATTCATACCTTATGGTTGCCTTGGTGGAGAATATTGTTGTTGAGGTCGTTGCTAATATTCATTGCAAATTCTTTTGGTTGTGATGTTTTGTCAACTATTTTCAAATTAAGTTGTGGAGAAAAAATGAACAATTAAAAAGTATAATATTTGAAGAAAGTTAAATGGGTGATTGATGTCAGAGTAATATTTATAGGAGAATATGATACGAAAAAGGTGGAATTTGAACAAACAATTGGTAATAAATAAACGTCTCAATCAAAAAATTGTTAATAATTGTTTGGATAAGGTAATACGAAACGTTAGTAACTATCTATACAATATTAAAGAAAACTGTAATAAATATTTTGTTAAGTGTGCAACATATTAGTTAGGTAGTTACTGATAGTTCGGCAAAATGTTGAAATATTATAATAAATAAACACTGTGATTTACTAATAATAAAATCATGTTGATACATTTTTAAAGGAAGGGCAATAAATATTTTATTAAGTATCCAAGCCAGAGATGATACGATGGTGTTATAATATATTTATTAATTTTTTAATTGTGGTTCGGCAATATGGTTATGAAACATGCATAAAGTTCGGCTTTGGTCTTGTTTAATCAATAATATTACAAAAAAAATTTTTAAATCTGTAATAGAAATGGTTGTTTATAGTTTTTTTTTAAATTAAGATTATAATATATTTAGATTGATGTTTGTTGAATATGTTGAATTTTTTAACATTTTTATAAACAGTTTTGTCTAATATTGTTATTAAATATCTATTAAAATATTAAATATTATTTATGTTTTATCCAGTATTTTAGTCTTATAATTAAAATTTTATTACTTCACATTAGAATATATCTTGATTTGTTTTGTCTAAATAGAATTAGGAAATAAACAAACGGAATAAATTTAAACTAATTTTTTATGTGAGAATTTTTGTCATAGTATAAAATTCTGGTGGTTCCTTTTCATCGATAATCCTTATATTGATTTTGAAAACGCATGTCTATCTATGCAATTTATTCAAAGTTTTTGGAATTATTTTCTGATCGATGCCTTGTTTGTTTAGCAATTGAGAACATGACAACCCAATCAGTTTATGGGGTACTGTATAAAACAATATAAAAGATGCTCCGGGAAAATTAACAGACATCTAGTAACAGATAAACACGTTGATTGAAAAAGTGTTGACAACTTATTGGATAATGGGATACGAAACGGTAGCAAACTGTTTGTAGCGCAAAGTGTTGAAAATTTCAGTATCATTTATAGACTGATACTGAAATTTACAACTGAAAAAGACATTCAGCTGCTTCAATTTTTTTTTTAATATGATAGTTTGGCAGCTTGGTTAATATAAACTCAAAAAGAAATTAAGCCATTTCATTTTTTATTAATATTATATTTCGGCATCTTCAAAAAATGTCTAACAAATTGTATGGAATTCATTGCCTAACCATTGTCCATAATTATGATTGTTCAAAGCCTGCTGTCGTTGATAACTTCACTGTCAAACCATCAATTTGGCTATAGAATAGTAATAGGGCAAATACTGATCCATAATTTATCCATCATTTAGGAATGCTTGGAATTTTGACAGATCAAGGTATCATTGAGGTCTACATTCCATTGTCGAACCATAATCAGGATGTAATTAGTTGCATTTATAATTTGTTATAACTTTTCTAGGAACACTGCTAATGTAACGCCCCGCTTGAGGTACGTTGTTATTGTTTCCTCTTTCGCCCTCAATCGAGTTGGTTTTTGTTATTATTGTTTGTTGGAGTGTTATATTGAATGTTGCCCTGAAATTGGTTGAAAATAGAAGAATCTTAGTGAACCAAGCTTCGCCGGGGCGAAGAAGAATCTTCGCCGCGGCGAAGATGTGTTGAAACCACCGGAAACTCTCTGGACGGTTTCGCCGCGGCGGCGGCGAAGATGTGTTGAAACCACCGGAAACTCTCTGGACGGTTTCGCCGCGGCGGGACAAAGTTTCTTCGCCGCAGCGACGGGCCGATTTCATGTGGTTGAGTTTAGACATTTTCTTCCCAAGGGCAATTTGACCATTCTACCCCTAATTAGAGGAAAAGTGGGGAGTTAATTGTAAGGATTTTTCATAGAGAATATGTTGAATTAGGGGTGAGTTGTTAATGAATCAAAGGATATGGATGGAATTTCCAAAGATGAATAAGGGCAAAATGGGATGGTGGTTATATTTCATTAAAAGGAATAAGAGTTAGCAAACCCTCATTCTTCTTCTCAAAAACGCAACCCTTCATTCTTCTTCTCAACTTCTCTTTTCTTTTGTTCAAGGAATTTTCAAGGGATTTTGAAGTAATTTGGGGTATAGAAAACAACCTAAGGCTCTAAGGCTTCCTAAGGTAAGGATTTCTCTTAAGTTGTTTGTTTGTAGATTTTAGTTCATTTTGGTTTTGAGGGTTTTCATTCTTTTGGTTAGAGTAGAGAGAATAGTCAAGAAAACCAAGTGGAAAAGAATTTGGTGAAGTCTCACTAGCAAGTAAGTAAAACCAACCCAAGTTGAGATTCATGAAATTCTTGATTAGGGTTTTGATAGAAATGATGTATTTATTGATGTGCATGTTTTATGTCATGTATGGAGTTTAAATGGAGATTTCTATGCTTGTGAATGTTAACACCTTGCAAATATGAGAATGGGTTGTTGGATTGGCAAGGTAGTTGAGATGGAATTGAAGGGGTGTTATGGAACCCTTTTGGAAGTGTGTTGTTTGACAGGTTATTATGACTTTGTGAAGGGGTCTTTCCCATTTTGGATGGTTAGGAAAAGTTTTAGATTCACGGCTATGATAGAGTTTTATAGTGACATGAGTTGTTTGATGAAATGCCTAATAGAGAATTGAGGTGGAGTAATGAACCTAATTTTTGCAACATTGCATGTTGGCATTTCACAAGTGCATTAGTAGAGATGAATCATCCATGTGCATTGTTATACGCATCGACAAGTGACCTAAGAAAGAGTAGGGAACTTTGTGTATAGAAATACCTATGAGTAGAGAGCTAGTGGTAAAATTACTAAGGGTAGGAGCATTAAAAAATGCTACAATAGAATGAGTTAGAAGAGTAGTATAGTTGGGATGATGCTTTG